TCCTCTGTGGATCTATCCTCTGGATCTGTCCCCTGGATCTGTCCTCTCTGGATCTTTCCTCTGGATCTGTCCCCTGGATCTGTCCTCTCTGGATCTATCCTCTGGATCTGTCCTCTGGATCTGTCCTCTCTGGATCTATCCTCTGGATCTGTCCTCTGGATCTGTCCTCTGTGGATCTGTCCTCTGTGGATCTATCCTCTGTGGATCTATCCTCTGTGGATCTGTCCTCTGGATCTGTCCTCTGTGGATCTATCCTCTGGATCTGTCCTCTGTGGATCTATCCTATGGATCTGTCCTCTCTGGATCTATCCTCTAGATCTATCCTCTGGATCTGTCCTCTGGATCTGTCCTCTGTGGATCTGTCCTCTGGATCTTTCCTCTCTGGATCTATCCTCTGGATCTGTCCTCTGGATCTGTCCTCTCTCGATCTATCCTCTGGATCTATCCTCTGTGGATCTGTCCTCTGTGGATCTGTCCTCTGTGGATCTATCCTCTCTGGATCTGTCCTCTCTGGATCTATCCTCTGGATCTATCCTCTGGATCTGTCCTCTGTGGATCTGTCATCTGTGGATCTATCCTCTGGATCTGTCCTCTGTGGATCTGTCCTCTGTGGATCTATCCATTTTATTATGTTTGTTTGTTTGTTTGTTTGTTTGTTTGTTTTGTTGTTCAGCACTTTGTTGATGCTTTATAAATAAAGTGGTGTGTAATATTAATCAATATTGATTAATATATTGATCTGAGATCGGTCAGTAAGGAGAGCTGAGCCTTAAAGAAGAACTCTGAGCCAGATCCAGAATCTCTGTAAAAACTGTTGATCCAGACCACCTGACAGCAGAACCTGAGGACCGGACCGTACTCGGGTCAGAAAGTTTAGTGTGTGTGGTGGTGCGTCTGTCCTCACGTTGACACTGTCCTCGGTCCGTCCGTCTCCAGCCCCAGCAGCAGTCCTGGCCGTTACCATAGCGACAGAGACCATCGGACAGTGCAGCCCGGTCCATCCAGCTGCAGCAGAGACAGACTCATGAACCGTGGGTTTGATTCCTGCAGCCACAAACAAACGTCCTGTTTGGACCTGCAGTTCTGAGCAGGTCCTGTAGGACCAGGTCTGAGACCTACAGGACCAGACAGAATCCTGCTGGGCCAGGTCTGAGTCCTTCAGCTTTGAGCAGGTCCTGTAGGACCAGGTCTGAGACCTGCAGGACCAGACAGAGACATGCAGGACCAGGCAGTCTGGGTCCAGCAGGTCTCAGACTGCCTGGTCCTGTTGGTTCTGGTTGAGGGGCTGTGTGGCTCCTCCCCTTCGGCTCCTGTTTCCTGCAGCCTGTCTGAACATGACTTATAGGAGCAGAGGAGGCGTCTCCACCTCCTCCACATACTTTCCATCTCTGTCACTCTTCAGCTGCTCCTCCTCCATCAGGAGCTTCGGCTCCGTCTGAGAGTTCTCCTCCATCTCTCCTCTCTCAGGAGAACTCCTCCTGTTCAGGCTCCTTAATGCTGTTTCAGCTGTTTGTCCGTCACAACGTTCGGCTCATACAGCAGCTGAAGGCTGCTGGACTTTGTGACTCAGTTTTTTAAGTATTTTACTGAAGTTATAAAAATCCATCAGATAAACATCTTTACCTACAGCTGGACTTTGGCTACTTCAGCTTATATTTAGCTACTTTTGGTTGGCATTTTCAGATAAATAGTGTTAACTTGTTATTTTTATTTATTTTTATTTATTTATTGTGAATGTTTTGTTCGGTGCTCTGAGACGATTCTGTTGTTTGGAGCTTTATCAATAAACTGAATTAGCATTAGCTTTTAGCTTCCAGCTGCAAACAGTTTCAGCTTCTTCAGCTTTGTGTTCCAGCAGTAATACTAAATGTGACACAAACTGAGAACTGGATCCTGGGGGACCAGAACCAGCCTCCTGACAGAACCGGAGCGGGTCAGGACCTCAGTGTGGACCTTCAGCTGCTGCAGCTGGTGTTGGGGTGACTCTCAGCTACTACCACCCTGACTGACTGACTGACTGACTGACTGACTGACTGGTCACTCGGTCCAAAATTAAGATGAAGATCCACAGAAAACTTTCGTTGGTTCCAGAGATATTTTACTAACAGACAGACTTCCGGTTGCAGAAACAGCTGTTTAAAGTTATTTATTTATTTTATTAAACTTTATGAACAAAAACAGAAACTTGTTTACCTGTCCTGGTCCAAGCTCTGGCTCCGGGTCAGCAGGCAGAACCGGGACAGCAGAACCAGAACCAGCATCCTGTTAAAGTTTCCGAACCGAGCCCGTCCTGCTCAGAACCGACCTCGGGTTCGATCCGGTTCAAACACGTCGGAGTTTGAACAGAACCAGCGCGTGAGCCGAACCGGAACCTGAACACGCGCTGATCCAACGAGTTCTGCTCCTGACGCCGAACCGAACCTCGTTCTGGATCTGGTGACTGCTAGCCGGTAGACGCACGCGCACGAGCGTTAGCTCAACTCTGCTGAGCTGCGTGGTGGGGTGCGTGTGGTGTGCGTGGTGGGGTGTCGAGTCAGCTTCACGCAGCTCTCGTGCTCGTGCTGCTCTGTGATTGGTCGGAGTTGCGTGTGCACGAGGAGTTTGTTGTTTGGGTTGAACGTGCCCCTCACGCGCACATCCAGACACTAATTAAACACTAATTAGCTGCCGGCGCATGCGCAGCAGCAGTGTTACCTGAGACCCGCCAGGAGCACCAGCGTGCAAAAGTGTTAATCCAGCTGTGGTTCTGGCCCGGAGAAGGCGGGCCATCATGTTGTTGTCGCTGTCAGTCTGTTAGCAAAATATCTCCTGAAGATTCACTGGACGGAAATTATCAGATGAAGTTTAAGAGTCCAGACAGCAGCAGGTCAGTAGCTGAGAGTCATCCCTGATGTGGGCCCCGCCGCGGTCTGTGTGGTGCAGGAGCGGCGGGCGACAAGCATTCCTTCAAGGAGCGCTGCCTTTCCTGAACATCAAATGTTTTTATTCACATCGATGTGAGAGAAGCAGCTCTGCAGAACTCTGAGCCCAGTTCGGTCCTGCTGGTTCTGGTTCTGTCCTGCTGGTTCTGGTTCTGTCCTGCTGGTTCTGGTTCTGGTTCTGTCCTGCTGGTTCTGGTTCTGTCTCTCTGGTTCTGGTTCTGTCTCCAACAAACATTTTATATTTCATTCATCTTTCTGTTCTTGGTGTTTAATTAAAGTCGATCACAACTCTTTTAAATCTCATTTTTCACATTTGGTCCTATAAATCTGTTTTTATCTGTTAATATTTAATATTTAATATTTAATATTTAATATTTAATATTTTAATATTTTAATATTTTAATATTTTAATATTTAATATTTTTATATTTAA